CGCCGGAGGGCGGGACGCGCTGGAGGGGGTGCGCCCTGGAGGGTGGTGCGGGTGGGAGTGAGAATCAGGGTAGCTGGGCAGAGGGAGAATGCTGGCAATTACCAAGATTCTCGTTCATTCCTTCAACAATGAGTGCTAAGTTTAGGAATGCTACTATATTTTATTGTGAGTATATTATGTACTGATACAGTGGTGAGCAAATCAGATATAGTCCCTGCCTTTGTGTAATTTACATTCTCTTTGGTGATTGGCATGGGAGAGGGAAGTTTGTGGGCACTACCACCTAGCAAAATATAAGTTATTAAATATACTCATTTATTTATATAGTAGCCATCATTTAATACACATGTATCAGTACCTTCAAAACTCTGATCCTGTTTTAGTCGTTGCTGCTTTATGTTGTACATAATAACGTAGTAAATACAGCACAACTCTCACCAATAGGTATAGGACAAAGATTCAAGCAAAACTTGGAGAAGCAGCTCAGAGTGTATGTCTGACAAAGTTTATATGGCTAAATCAGTAAGTGGCACAGAATGACGACCTCCTCTTGGAGATATTTCACAGGATTCAGTGTGGTGAGATCAGCCTGGTTCTTTTGAATGCACATGTAATATTACTTGACAAACTATACAATCCACAATTGTATCTTAAAACATAGTCTTAAAACTAGAATGGTGACACTTGCCAAAGCCTTGGAATCCATTCAAATATTATTCAAATTTCTCTATAAGGTGTGATTCTAACAAATAGGAGGAGTATAAAAAGTATTCTTAAACACAACTTATTTAATAAATATTACTTATTACATATCCAGACACTGTTATAAGTGCTGGAGATGAACAGTGAACAGAACAGTTTGGGGGCAGGGAGGGGGTGGATGGCACATCAAAGCATATTTGGAGGGGGTTTAAGAGAGAAGGGAAGGAGAGAAACTGAAGCCAGAGATTATAGGATGCTGTTACAAAAAGGAAGTAAAAACATGGAGGAGAGTGGCCAATGAAATCTAAATAAATTTTTATGGGAAAATAACAGTGTTTGTTTGAAAATACAAGTGAAACAAGAGAAAAAAACAATAAATAGATACGTCAAATGCATAAAACAAGAAACAATAGATATGCCAAACTGACTAAATATGATTGATGTCAGGAAAGAAAAACGTTTCCCCTACCCATTTAGTTCTGTCCTTGGGGGGCTGTGAATTAACTGACAGAAGACAGATAACAGGAGAAAAGGTGATTTTTTNCCAGTTTGAGGTTTTACCTGCCTGAAATGCCACATTAACTGTGTGTGCCCTAAAATCCCCGGCCCCTCGACCTGCGCGCGCTGTCTGTTTGGCAGGAAAAAGGGAGCGATTTTTACTAACTGAGCTTCACCCTCTGACCTACCTTCAACTGTTGACCAATACTGTTTTTCACGTCCGTATTGGATAGACGCCTAATTTGTGTGTCAGGCAGGACAGTTAAGACTTGTCCTGGTATGTGTCCCATTATTCATTTTACAAGTCCAGAACCTTAATTTAGAAATCATTTTGCATCTTGAGCTAATTGCTGCAA